TAATAGGGCTGGTTGTGCCCCTAGTGAGCTTGTCGATGTTGTAGTTGAGCCTGCTGGTTGAGTATTGTAGTCTTTTAGATCTCTCTATTTTTCAATTGTTTCTTGCATTTTTGTGGTTTATGCTACTGTGTCACAGGAAAATGGAAAAGAGTTCATCCATTAATAATATATTATTTTCGTTATAATTTTTATTTTGTTCTTTTAATTTTTGTATTTTATCTCTCTTTTCTTCAAGTTTCTCATCTAACCTCATATTCTTATTCTTTAAGGCTCTGAAGTTTTCCTTAGCCTCTTATAGTTTTTCTTTCAGTCCTTTCTCTGCCCCCCTGAGTTTTTCAAGATCTTTTAATTGGTTATTGATTGTTTTTATTAATTTATTTTCTTTTCTCTTTCTTTTTTCAGTCAATTTTTGAATTTGATAATCATTTTCTAAATATTTTAAGGTAAGATACTTTTTATGTAAATTAGGTTCTAATATTTCATCACACTTTTTTATTATTCCATTTGTTTTATTTGTCAATCCCTTCAGAATTTTTAATGTTTCACTAATTTTCCCTTAGGTTTCACTTATAATTTTTACTGATTGTTCTCTCATTTTTTCATAATCTATTTTCAACTGTTGATTCCATTTTTCCAATATATCTTTTTTTAATTTCAAGATTTCATATTTTTCTTCTGCTGTTAGTCTCCTTTCATCTGCTATATTATTTTCTCTAATTAATACTTGAATTCTTATTTCTAGAGCTTCTATTTCTTGTTTATTGATCCACAAGATATATTAATTATTTTGATTGGGTAATTTTTCATTTAATTTTTCCCAAATTGAATCAGCTATTTTAGTAACAAGTATTGAATTCATATTTTCCATTTTTATTGTTCTTTTAATTATTAGTCTTTATAGATAAATTTCTTCTTGTATTTATATTTTTAAGAAGTCATACATTTCCTCTAAGATTTTTGTTTCATTGTCCATTCCATCTCATTCTCTTTCTTTTGGAATTCTAGATTGTTCATTATTTTATCTTGATAGTCATCTTTATCTTGTATATTTACAATAATTTCTTTTGAAAATATTTTAGGATTTCTTTCTAGTCTTAGCATTTCTTTCTTTAAAATTTTTTCCAGGTCATTTTTCTTTACAATTTTCTTCTGAAGTTCATAAACTCTCTTCTTAATTCTATTGTTTTTCATAATTAATTCTTTATTCTTCAATTGTTCCAATATTAATTGATTTTTGGCCTGTACTCTTTCTAAATATTCTTGCCTTTTCTGATTTAAATTTTTATCACTTTCTTTTGCTTTCAAAATCCTTAGGACATTTTAAAATATTTCCTTTACTGCATCTTATTTTCTTCAATTAGTTGATGAATACAATCCCTAGTTATAGCCATTGTGACTCCCAGTTTCCATACATCTTGATAATTACTTTTTATAACTTCTTTAATTCTTTTTTCTTCTAAACTTTTTAATATGACCTCTCTTATTGTCAACATGACAATATCTTCATAAGTAAATTTATATGTTGTACTTGCTTCAAGATACCTTTCTTCAGATTCTATTTTTAGGTTTTTATTTATTTCTTCTATTGTTTACTATATATTCCCAATTTTTCTAATCATGTCAATAGTTAGAAGTGATTTTTGGAATTCTTGAAACTCTCAAAGTTCCTTTTCCAACCTTTTGATTTCTTTTTCTTTTCTTCTATCTTTGTTTGTTTCTTATTTCTGTCTTTAACAAGTTTTTTATAAATTTATTCAAAATTAGTTGTTTTCTTGTTAAAGTAAAAGTTTCAAATGAAGTCACTTTCTTTTATTGAAATTATTTTTATCCAGGTTATATTTTCTTTCAATACTGTCTTTAACATTTTTTCTTCTTCCTATATTTTCTCAAGGTCTTCTTTTTCTAAGATTTCTAAAAGTTCTTGATTTAGTTTAATTTCCTCTTCCAATATTGTAATAGTTTTTCTTTATTTATTTGTTCACATTCTTCTGGTACGTCCTTCTATTCTTCTTCGGATAAGACAATATCTGGTTCCTATTTTATTTTTATTTGGATTTTTGATAATTGTATAATCTTCTGAGGTGTCTGACTCATATTTTTCAGGTGTATTTATATTTAATTTTTTATACATGATATTATTTAGCTTATAAAAACTGTTATTATAATATTCATTATTATATTTTTTCAGTATCTTAATCTTTTATTTAAGTTTATCTATTTCCAGAGTTAATCTAACAATTTCTTTATTCTGTGTTTCTTTTTCTTCTTGCTTTGTGAATCTTTTCATTTTTTCTAATAAGTCTCCAATTTTTTTGATTTTTCTCATATGAGTTCATGGTTTCTTTTTATAATATTTATTATAATAGTTTCAAAATCCTCAGGATTTTTTCTAATTAAATATTTAAGAATAAGTTTACTGTCCTTGTATGAAAGTTTTCTTGTTATCTCATAAATACAATATTCTAATTTACTAATAATTTTAATCATTTCTTTTACGGTTATTTCATAATCTTCTTTATCCAATACTGTTATAAATTTTTTATTTAATATAAAATTTTTTCCAAAGAGTGTTATTGTAGTTATTTTCCAAAATATTAATTTTTCAATATTGATTAAAAGAATTTTATTGAGATATTTTTTTTTAAACACTAGCTTATCCTTGCATCATGGCAATGAGGGCTTTATTTATATAAGAAGGAAATCTAGGGACAACTTGAACAAATAATTATTCATACTGTCTAAGGATTTACAGATCAATAAATAGTACAAAGAGTCGACTATTTATGTCTTACCCAATCAGGATAAGATAATTACATGGCTGTCTAGTATAGATTTTTTACTTACTAAACAAAACATTTAAATAATAGGGAGATGTAGTAATTTACACAATATTAATTTCTCTACTATATCAGGACATTCCCTAGGGCCTAGATCCATCAGGCGGCTTATTGCTATCCCATGAAGGAGGCTAATATACCAAGGATTTACCTGAGTTACCCAGTACTACTGATGTTGGAGTTTTCTTATGTGGGGCCTTAAATCCACTAATACTTAGAAAAAAATTTTTATAAAAATATATTTGGTTCTTGTTCAATTGGACTTAGTGTTGTGACTTTGCGAGAGAGGTGATTCTAAATAATGAATACATGTATCAAAACCTTCCAAAAAGATATCAACTCTTATGTTTCTTATAATGTATTGCTGAAAGAGGAGAGAAGGAAGGAAGAGAGTATAGTCTATCCAATATGTCCTGAACCAGCTTCTTTCTTTCCATGTTATCAATGATGTAAGAGGTTTCATGTCCTATATCCACCCGTATCAGATCCAATGACTTATGGTTCTTATAAATACCAAGAAAATGCATTCCGTTATATAAAGTAACCAATAGGAGCTTGTTTACATTGTTTATTAATATAAAATTTCTGTCTAATCATAGTGTGAGAAACTTTGTGCTACTCAAAATTTAGAATCAAACTGAGGTAGACAAAATTTTCCAGAAAAACCCAGAAATAAGCACTATTAGAGCATATTAGGTAACAAAAAGAGTGGAAGAGAAATCTCTTATCATAAACAATACTTTGTATTGTTTCTTTACAGTGTGAGATGACTGTATATTAGTTCTTCTTTCTTTCAGAACTTACTTGCCATTGGTAAAAAGGGTGTATGCTTGACTTTTTGATTACTAGCGATTAAGTTTTTGTTTGAAAAGAAGTAATAATAAGAGGAAGAGGGTATAGGAATGACTCTTAAAGTTTCCTTCAAGTTAATTTAAAGAAAGTAGTAAGACTATATTAATAAAGAAGTATAAAACTTCTTGCAAATATCTTTTTTGTGTGTAGTTAGAAAATCAGCAAAAAGAATGCATTTTAAATTCATGGATTTTATTGAGATATTTATAATAATTATTATAAATAGTTTTACTATTAATGATTCAAGGTTCATATTCTTCTTAATCTATAACAGTTTATTTGTTTCCCATAATAAGTTAGAGTAAGGTATTGATTTTCTCAATTCTGTTTATTTTCATATTATAGAGACAGAAATTGATACATAACTGAATTTTCTTATTTGATCATTATTCTTTTTCATAAATAATAAATACTTGTTCTAATAAATTAATTATTTGCTAAAATATTCCTAATTCTACCATCAAGTATAACCTTCTTTTACTTTTATTATATCATTAATTCTTTGAGGTAAAGTGTCTATTAATCTATTATATATATAAATATCCATGTTTCTCAAACTTCTTTTATTATTACTCACAGTTCTTTCTTATTTTTTATACGAGTGTTTCTTAATTTTTTCTTAATTATTCCCAAAGGTTTTCTATAGGGTTCAAGTCTGGTAATTGTGTGGGCCATTTAAGAACATCAATACCATTTTTTAAGAACCATTTCCTTGAAATTCTTGAAGTATGCTTGGGGTATTGTCTTGTTGAAATATGATATTCCTTGATCTAATTCCATACCAGTCTAGGGTTTCTAAGAAGTCTTCTTCAAGTATTTGACAGTAGAGTTCTGAGTCCATTATTCTTGAATCCAATAAAGGTTCTCAATACCTTATTATGTAAAGCATCCCCAGACCATGATGTTTTCTTCTCCAAATTTTATTGTGGGTTTGATGTGTCTGTTTCCAAGTGATTTTTCAGATTTTTTCTAGCAATATTCTCTCCCATTTGATCCAAAAAACATAAACTTACTCTCATCAGACCATACAACCTTTCTCCAATCTTCAATAGTCTATTTTCTATAGTTTAGAGCAAACTTTAGTCTTTGTAGCTTGTATCTTTTGGAAAGGAATGGTTTCTTACATCTTATTTTAGATTTTAAGACATTTTTTTCCAGAACATATCTTACTGTTTGGGCAGATATTTCTTTATTTTCTTTCTCGAGTTCTTTCTGAATGTCCACAGTAGTGAAACATTCATTTCTCACTATTTTTCTAACTACTTTTCATTATTCTCTCTTGATAAATTTTCTGGGCCTTCCACTTCTTAATCAATCTTCAAGACTTTCTGTTTCACTTTTCCTTTTCCCTGTTCTTGAGACAGTTGCTAGAGAGACCTTTTTTCTCTTTGCAATTTCTCTAGTAATATATCCTTCCTCTAAAAGAAGAACAATTCTGGCCCTTTGTTTAATTATAAGTTGTTTTGGCATGTTGAAGTAACTTCTTTTGTTTAGAGTTATGTTTACTTGTCATGATCAGATTATTACTATAATAATAAAATAAATTCAATCAGGTGAAAATCATAAAATATTTATAATAGTAATCTGATCGTGACAAGTAAACATCACTCTAAATGAAAGAAGTTACTTTAACATGCCAACACAATTTATAATCAAACAAAGGATTAGGATTGTTCTCCTTTTAAAGAAAGGATATACCACTAGGGAAATAGCAGAGAGAGAAAAGGTCCTTTTAGTAACTGTCTCAAGAATAGGAAAAAGGAAAAGAAAAACAGAAAGTATTGAAGATCGACCAAGAAGTGGAAGACCTAGAAAATTTATCAAGAGGGAAGAATGAAAAGTGGTTAGAAAAATAGTAAGAAATAAATGTTTCACTGCTGTGGATATTCAGAAAGAACTTAAGGAAAAAAATAAAGAAGTATCTGTCCAAACATTAAGACATGTACTGAAAAGAAATGACTTAAAATCTAAAGTAAAATGCAAGAAACTATTCCTTTCCAAAAGACACAAGCTCCAAAGACTAAAGTTTGCTCTAAACCATAGGGAATAGACCATTGAAAATTGAAAAAAGATTGTATGGTTTAATGAGAGTAAGTTTATGCTATTTGGATCAAATGAAAGAGAATATTGCTAGAAAAAACCTGAAAAACCACTTGGAGACAGACATGTCAAATCCATAATCAAATTTGAAAGAGGAAGCATTATGATCTGGGGGTACTTTACATCACAAGGTATTGGGAACCTTTGTTGGATTCAAGAAAAAATAGACTCAGAACTCTACTGCCAAATACTTGAAGAAGACTTCTTAGAAACCCTGGACTGGTATGGAATTAGATCAAGGTATATCATATTTCAACAAGACAATAACCACAAGTATACTTCAAGAATTTCAAGGGAATGGTTCTTAAGAAATGGTATTGATGTCCTTGAATAGTTTACACAATCATCAGACTTGAATCCTATAGAAAACCTTTGGAAAATAATTAAGAAAAAATTAAGAAACACTTATATAAAAAATAAAAGAGAACTGTAAATAATAATAGAAGAAGTTTGGAAAATATGGATATTCATACATATAATAGGTTAATAGACACTTTACCCCAAAGAATTAATGATGTAATTAAAGTAAAAGGGGTTTATACTGTACCTGATGATAGAATTATAAAATATTTTAGCAAATAATTAATTTATTAAAACAAGTACTTATTATTCATGAAAAAGAATAATGATCAAATGAGAAAATTCGGTCATATATCAATTTCTGTCTCTATAATATGAGAATAAATAGAATTGAGAAAATTAATAGCTTATTCTAACTTATTACAGAGAACAAATAAACTGTTACAGATTAAGGAGGATATACTGTAAATCTTAAATCATTAATAGTGAAACTATTTATAATAAAAATTATAAATACCTCAATAAAATCTTTTTGACCAATATTAAAAAATTAACATTTTGAGAAATGACTACAATTACATTCTTTGAAAAAAACCTTATGTTATATAAGGAATTTATAACAGTATTGGATAAAGAAGATCATGAAATAACTGTAAAAGAAATGATTAAAATTATTAGTAAATTAGAATATTGTACTTATGGGATAATAGGAAAACTTTTATACAAAAACAATAAACTTATTCTTAAATATTTAATTGGAAAAAATTCTAAGGATTTTGAAGCTATTATAATGAATATTATAAAAAGAAACAATAACTCATATGAGAAAAAATAAAAAAGATTGGAAACATATAAGAAAGAATGAAAGGATTCACAAAGCAAAAAGAAAAAGAAATACAAGATAAAAAAATTGTTAGATTAACTCTAGAAATAGATGAACTTAAAGAAAAGGTTATGACACTGAAAAAACATAATGATAAATATTCTGATGACAGTTTTGATAAACTAAATAATATCATATATAAAAAATTAAATATAAATATACCTGAAAAATGTGATTCAGACACTTCAAAGATTATATAATTATAAAAATCCAAATGAAAATGAAATATGAACCAAACATTGTCTCATTAGAAGAAGAATAGAAGAATGCACCAGAAGAATGTGAACAAATAAATAAAGAAAAAACTATTACAATATTGGAAAAAGAAATTAAACTAAATCAAGAACTTTTAGAAATCTTAGAAAAGGAAGACCTTAAGAAAAAAAAGAAATCAAAAAGTTGGAAAAGGAACTTCAAGAGTTTCAAGAATTTCAAAAATCACTTTTAACTGTTGATATGACTAGAAAAATTGAGGATATATGGTGAACAATATAAGAAATAAATCAAAACCTAAAAATAAGATCTGAAGAAGGGTATCTTGGAGCAAGTGCAACATATAAATTTACTCATAGAGATATTGCCAAGTTGGCAATGAAACAGGTTATATTGAAATGTTTAGAAGAAGAAAAAAAGGAGACAAAAATTGAACATAATCAAGGAAAAATGCTTGAATATTTATAATCGAATAGATGAAGACTTCAGGATTGAAGAAAATGTTTCTTTAAAAAGCTGGAACCTTTTTTAAGAAGCTAAACTCTCTTAAAGAAGTTATGATTTTATAAAAAAAAGATAAAAATCAAAAATATTGAAACCAGAAAAACTAATAGCAGAGGGTTGCTAACCCAACTGAGGAAAATTGGAAAATAGTTTATGGAATTCTAGAGAAGAGGGTTTTCCTGAAATAATTGGACTCTCTCTGAAAAAGAAAACCTTCTTTAAGAAAATAAAACCTTTTCTAAGAAACAAAATTTGAAATCAAACTAACAAAATATTTAATTTTGGACCAAATATCCTGGATACTCATTTCAAATCTTTATTATTGAACAGCAGGAATATGAAGAATTCTAGGAGTATAGAAAACTATGACAAAATCTTTTTTAAAGAAAGAGAAAATTTTAAAAATCTTAAAAAAAAACTTTAACTGAAAATTGTGAAAGAATTTGTTAAATAAACTAATTAAACACTATTAATAAAACTTGTAGAAAAGCAAGAACATTTTAAAATGAAACAAGTAATAACCTTGTAGACATTACACAAACAAGAAGATCTTGAAGATTAGCAAATTTATTATAAGAAAATAAAGATAGATTATAATACAAATCAAAGAAATAGAATAAAAACAAAGATCTAACAATACAAAAAAGATAAAAGAGATAAGGGGAAATAATTCTATAAATTTTGAAAGAAATTTAACAACAGAATAAAGAAATAAAGAGAAGATCATATTTAAGAAAATCGATTATAGTAAAAAAAGAACTTAAAGAAAAATTTGAATAATTTAAGAATTAATAAGCAGAATTGATTGAAAATTTGCAAAAAGTTTGAAATACATTGGTAGAACAATTTCACAAAAGGAAACTGAAATCTGTCAGTTGAATAAAATTTTAATAGGAGAAATAATTCATTAAAGTTTCTAAAAATCAAAGAATTCTGAAGAAGAAACAGATTTTTTTGAAAAAATTACTATATAATCTAAAATCTACACTACAAAAAGTTTGTAATTCTTATAAAAAAACTTTTTACCAGAGAGAATTAAATTTAAACCATGTGCGAAGAAGTTATGCAAGAAAGTGGATCGTGATGAACTTTCGATTAAATCTATAAGAAATAAAAATGTTAATTATTGAGAAAATTTCAAAAAAAGATTGAAAAACTGAGATAGTGAATCTTTAAAAATCCTTGAGAACTTGAGAACAATTGGACAGAATATTATACTGATACCTGGAAGATAAGAAAAGAAAAAATTTAAATCTTCACCAATCTTAGTAAAAGATAATAATTATAAAGAAAATATATCACACAAAAGTTATACAAACATCTAATAATAAAAATAATCAAGTAATAGTATATCATATAATTAATAAATAATGTAGCTTATGCCATGGGTTATACAATGATACTGGATAAAGAAAGTATAAATAGAATCAAGGAGATGCAGATAAAAAAAACAGCTTATAGTATTATGAACTTTAACAAAAAAACAGGTTTAAAGAGTAAAATATTAAGGAAGGAAGTAATAAGCTGACAAGAAACCATGGATAAATTTATATAAAGAACATTTCTATATAAGAACTCTAGTCAATAAAATATATGAATACAAAAAATAACATGAAAATATCAAGAAAATGCTCAAAAAATCCAAACAAATAGTAATAATAATGAATGAAAAAGAAGCCATCAAGACAAAAAAAAAGAAATCAAGAAGCCAATATCAGAAAAAATGAGTTAAAAGATATCTTTTTTTAAGGAACAAACAAGAAAAAAGTCAAGAAGCTCAAGTACAAAGAACAGCTAAAAGAAACAAGAAACCAATAAAAGATATATTAAGAATAGAAAAGGAGTGTATCTTTAATATATTCGATAATCTTTAGTACAATAATATTTATTATAAAGATATATGAGAGAAGGATAGTCTTCAAATTTTTGAAAAAATTTGAAGAAGAAAAAAATTGGAAATAAATACAATAGAACATCACAAGAAAAAGGAACAAGTCAAATATACTTCTAAGAATAAGTTTATAATTTACAATCAAAAATATTTCAAAAATATTATAAACTTTTAACAATAAGTTCTTTATATGCTCTTCATAAAACTTTATTTCTTTAAAATTATTGAAATCTAATAGTATTACTTTAGTAATTTTTAGACAAAAAAAATAAGAAAAAGAATTATACTAGTAATAGGATAAAAAAATTTGTTTAATGTATTATAAATAGACATTTTTATTGGAAAATGATTTTGAGAAAGAAGAGACAAAAGAAGAAATATGAGAAAGAATACTATAGCATTTAAATCCTTAAAATTATCTAAGATTTAGTATATATGTTTATAACTTTAGGATATTAATAAATTTTTGTTATTACTCTTTTTGCTAATCCTTTGACTATATACAAAAAAAATATTCACAAGAAGTTTTCATACTTCTAAGCTAATAAAGTCTTATCACTTTTCTTAAATCAACTTGAAGAAGCTTCAAGTGTTATTATCTACTTTCTCTCCTCTTGCTTAC